AGGGCTCCTGATTCCTCGTTTAGCCCAGGAAGGGCTCCTGATCCCCAGTTAAGCCCAGGGAGGGCTCCTGATTCCACGTTTAGCCCAGGACGGGCTCCTGATCCCCAGTTTAGCCCAGGGAGGGATCCTGATTCCCAGTTTAGCCCAGGAAGGGCTCCAGATCCCCACCCAGATAGCAAAAATCATCTGGGCCAGATCTGGCCCAGACCCATAGGAAGTTCATAGGAAGTTCTGGCACAACGGACTCGGGCCGGTGTCTTTTGGCACAACGGGCCAATACCGGCACGGATCCGTTTTTCCGGATCTGGACCAGAACTGGGTCAGCTCTGGACCAGATGCGGATTCCTTTATGGTGATTTGGGCCAAATTTTAAAATAATGGGTTTCTATTTTAATATACTTCAAAATATTGTTTATTGCTTTGATCAAAGCTCAGTGTTGGAAACAGCTGTGCTGCTTAATTTTTTTGGGAACCTGTGATACTTTTTTCAGGATTTATTGATGAATGAAAAGTTATTTATTCAGCTTTGCCATCACAGAAATACATTTAACACGGACGCGGCCCGGATCCGCTCTGCGACTGTAGTTCCCGCTCACTGAAACCGCGCCCGGGCTGGGTCCGTGTTACAGCACTGAAATGGATGTGACTGTAACGCGGATTTGCCGGTTTTAAAACAGATCTGGCGCGAAGTCAGCTGCTGTCTGGGCAGTTAAGCCCAGGGAGGGCTCCAGATCCCCAGTTAAGCCCACAGAGGGCTCCAGTTCCCAAGTATAGCCCATGGAGGGCTCCAGTTCCCGAGTATAGCCCACGGAGGGCTTCTGTCCCTGAGTTTAGCCCAGTGAAGGCTCCTGTCCCCGTGCTTAGCCCAAGGAGGGCTCCAGTCCCTGAATCTCCTCCAGAGTGCCCTCAAGTGCCCCCTCCTCCAGAGCGCCCCCCAGGATTCCTAGTTTTCCCCAATACATTTTTTTGTGGGGGGCCATATCCCCGTGGCCAAGCCAGCTAAGGCCACGGAGGATCCGCCATGGCCTCCCGAGTCTCCTGATCCGCCCTGGAGGCCTCCCGTGTCTCCGTCCTTTACCAGCCTCCAGGGCACCCACCCCCCCTCCCCTGTGGATATGTTACGGTGAGGGACGCGCCTACCGGGAGGGGGGAGTTATGTCAGACTCTGTTCCGTGTTTTGTGTTTCCATTCCCATATTTGGTCCTTCCTGTTCCTGTCCTAATTTTTTCCAATGTGTTCCAGGTGTGTCTAGTTATCATCCTCGTTTCCCTGTGTATTTAAGTTCGAGTCTGTGCAGTCTGTCTTGGTCCTGTATTGAACGTCAACCCGCGTCCTACTTGTGAGTTCCTGTCTGTATGTGCTTTATTTGGATACATAAAGGTCTGTTTCATGTTAATCCTCTTCATCTCCGCGCTCCTTCGTCTCCTTGTCTCCGCCACAGTGACAGGGGGGACCGCTAAAAATATTTTTAACTCACCAGTGAAAAGGTTAAAGACTTTTACCTTCATCATAGTGCGAGTTCATTCTACACAGTATCATGACACACTGATTTCTAAGCATTACATGTTTATTTTTTTAAAGTTAAATAAATTTGTTTGGCTAAGCAGTGGTTGTGTGTGGTGGCTCCTTGCATTCTTAGGAAAAGAGTGTAACAATGGGGAAAAGGGCAAGTGTAAGTGAATGAATAAAACCGTTAGAGTAACAGGGAATGAAGCTATGGAAAATGAGTCAATTAACCACCAGAGAGGAAACCATCAGCACATTTGTAACAAAGTCGACTCCTGAACTCCTGTTGATGGCGTTGCAGTCAGACTGGATGTCTCCAGTCCTTTCCCCTCGAACAGCAAACAGAAAAAGAGCCCAAGAACAGAAAGGAGATAAGAGACATGGTCACAGATGTAAGGCCTTTTAACTTCTGTAGAAGTCACATCTTCTGAGTTTGGCTTGACCAGAGAAAAAGGTGTAATTTCAAGTGGGAAAAGTTCATTTGTTTGGAAGTTGGCTCATTTACATGATCAGAGTGGGCAGGCAGTTTTGTTTGCCTTTATACTCTGAATAATATAACAAGCATGCAATGCATGTTGTGAGGATGTGGTATACACAGATTCAGTGGACTAATCAAGGGTTATCTTGAAGTCAAACATGGCACCAATAAGGTTACATTATCTAATAATTATATCATAAGGCATGCATAAAACACATACAATACAAAATGCAATATACAAAATAACAATAATACACAGTGTCCTGGGGATATGCATGTTCATTCATAGAAAGGATTGTCTATGAATTAATGGGAATAAGTTATTATCTATGGGCCTTGTATGTCTGTTTAAAAGTGAATTAAGTAAGAGTAAAATTCTCTAAATTCCTTTGGATCGTAAAACCAGTCTTATCTCTTACTGTGTGCTTGCTGCTACTGAAACCAGAGGCCTTTTCTGCCCCTGGTTGTTAGTTGCGGCTTAGTTCACCAACATCCCGGAACCCAGTCCAGTTGTTGGTTGAGGGGTCTGTTGGATTATTTGTTATATTTGCTTTTGATTTGTCCAGCCATTACACCCCTTTTCTGTAATTCTGATGTCTATAATTAGAATAAAGTCTCTAAGGAAGATCAATACACCACACCATACTGTCAAGACATCTGTTCTGCAGCTTGGCTGAGAACATAGTTTATATTGAAAATGCAGTGTGTGTATGTCTTTGGAAGCATGTTAATAGAGTAAAAACAGATTCGAGCAGGGTGCAGCACAACAATGATATACTGCTTTAAAAAGAAGTCATTGAAGAGGGTTATTTAATGTCTGTATATTATTAAAAATGCCAGTTCTGTGTTGTTGGTTTGGAAGTATATAAGTCCATAAATGTCAAAACACTTCTCCACTTCATACATTTACCTCAAATACGTTTTCTCAGTTGATTGCAAAAGAGAACATGTTGTAAAGTCTTTTAAGGCTCAGTCATTCAAG